ATCATTCTTCAACTTTAATAAAATAAAAGTGTAGAATTAACTAGAATACCAATAGAAGTTTATAATTTAATAATTTAAAATTATGAAATAATAATTAATGTCATAAAAATATTAATTGATACTTTCAGTTATTTAGTTATATTTTAATTATAATATTTTAGTAATTATGTATATTAATTATTTTTTTATAAAAAACTAGTTCCTAATATAAAAAGACAAAACAAGAGAAAAAAAATAAAAGAAGAAAGGAAAGTACATAATTTTATTTAATGTTGCAGTTCAATATTTTCATTCACATTTCTTATATAAAGTATATTTCAATTTATTTATTCATCAAATGTTTAATATATTTGCATATTAACAAAATTATCATTTTAGTAATTATTATTATTTTTTATAGTTTGTTAGTGTTCCTTCTTGTTCGAAATAATTATATATTATCATCTATATCCCATAGATGATAATATATTTAAATTAAATTTATAATATTTTTTTAAATTGTTTTAATAAATTACCAGGAAATTAATACAAGATCTGATTGAAAATATATCTAATCAATATACGGTTAAATAATTCTATTTAAGTTACAAGATCTTATTGAAAATAGATCTAATCAATATACGGTTAAATAATTCTATTTAAGTTAGTTTATAGTTAATAAATATTAGCCATTGAGTATACGAAAATTAATTAATTTTTCATACATAAGATTTGCTAATAATAAAGATTACAAAAATGTAAAATATAGACGAAAAAATATTTTTCGCCTAAAATCGTGCCAATTATGGCAATATGAATTGGTCCATCATATAGATATAAATATAGAAAATAATTCTATTTAAGTTAATTTATAGTTAATAAATATTAGCCATTGAATATACGAAAATTAATTATTTTTTCATACATAAGATTTGCTAATAATAAAGATTAAAGAAATGTCAAATATAGACGAAAAATATTTTCCGCCTAAAATCATGCCAATTATAGCAATATGAATTAGTTCATCATATAGATATAAATATAGATATAGATTCTAACAGTACCTTTTTATATCTTCCGCATGTATCCAAAAGACACTCAAAACCACACATACATGATCATTAGTAATAGTTGTCAGACATAAAATGTGCTCACTTTCATTAATCCACAGACCCGATAAAAACTAAACATCCTAAACATGTTCCAATAATAGTTTCAACACAAACACAAACCTTCGTAAACAAATGTTTTAACTGCCATTACTCTATTCTTCTTTGTACCTCTTCTCAGTTTCCTCCATGCTTTGAATCTCCCTGTGATACTTGCATATGCGGTAAATACACCTGCAACAGCAGTTAAAAAATGGCAGGCACGTAAAATTAGTTAAAGAGGGTGCTCGGCAACTGCAACAGTACAGTGAAAAAAGGCTCAAGAAATTTTACCAGTAAAGAAGGCAAGCACCAACGCATAAGATCACATTCCTCTGAGCCTTGTAGATCTGCATCCCAACACAAAGAGTTAGAAATAGAAAGTAGAATGAAAAAAAGAGAGAGCAAGTACCTCAAATCATACTGGGAACCTTTTTTTTTTTTTTTTNTCATACTATTTACATGCAGCTATGAACATCAGACATCATGTAAGGATCATCTGCTTATGTGAAAGAACTCGACTCACAATGCGCAAAATGACCAACTATCAAAGCACAATGCATTAGGTTACTCTATAAATCATGGAGAGGAATAATATAATAGATAGATTAACTGGTAAAATCTGGCAAAATTCGTTGGGAATAAAGTACAGGATAACAAATAAAATATAAAGCTCCAGCATTTATGGTACTAAACAGCATTAAGCAGCCAGAACATCCTATCGCTTGCAGTATTTATTTTATTCAATTATTGAAAAGAGAAGAAAAATTTTAACGAGGAAAAACTGCAAACAGTGAAGAAAATGACCAATGTTCATGAAACAGAGTTCAAAAAGGAACATCGACATACGCAGTACTTCTAATGGTCAATCCTATCAGAACTGCTAGCTGTACTCTAAAAATGGGATGATGCAACAGTTTTCAACCAATCAATTGCCATCAGGGTGGCCTTAAGAATACACCGAAGGCCAGAAGGGATTCCTAACTTAGAGAACTAATCAAATATTTGCCTCTTTTGAACTGAATAGCTTAATCTCATTTCTATTAAGTAATAACAATCTTCTCAACACTAATACATATCCTAGGAAATATCAGCAAACAATAGCAACAGAGGAAATTAAAGACTGTACTCATACAAAAAATTTCATCCTTGAGCGACACGTTAAGATACTCCATACAAAATTTTGTTTAACCAACAGCTCAAAGCCAGCTTAAATGTAAGATATTACGTCATTAATGGAGTAAGATGCCTAACCTGGCTCAAACAAGTCAAATCAAACAGAAGATAGTGGAAACATGCCAACAGAGCAATTCAAATACACAACCAAACAGAAGGAAATATACAGAAAGAAAAAGAGAAAATATTTTTCTGCTTGCTCAAAAAGTCTGCCGTAAACACATCAATTTCTGCAAATGCTCAAAAAATCAATCTACTCAAAGAATCAATTGACAAAAAATTATGTTAAAAAATAACAAAGAAGCAAAATAAATTACCGATTTCTCATATCGATCCCTCTCAGCAGCAGTGCAGGTCTCCCCACTACACATCAGCCTATGTTCATTCTTCCAATAAATGTCTAGCAGAGAACAAACGATTAAACTCACAGGATCTTAATTTAATCGAAAGCGCAACTCGAAAATAGGACAATTCAACATACCTAGAAGCTGGAAGGCGGAGAATGGCACGATGAACAGCGAGGGCTGGAGAACAAGCGAGACGAGCGACACGATGCGAGATTTTACAGCTGTCGGGGATGGCAGTGTCAGTGTAACTGCGACGGCGGCCTCCGCCGCCACGACGTACGCCAGGATCATCCATTGTAGCGCCATTATTTTCACTCTGATTTGATTTTTCCTCTTTCCGATTGTATGTTTGTTACTTGCTCCGCGTGGTGTACTTGTTTTCGGTTTTATTTAATTTTGGCTTAGTCGGCAAAGGTAGGAAGTCTTGTAGAGTAGAAGGTTCCGACTTTGCATTCTCGGATTATCATTAACTAATTATTAACAACTAGTAATCTTTGACCCATCAATTTTATTATATTAAGCATTACATAAATTTAAATTCAATAATATAAATAAAAATTTGGTTTTACATAACATTATATATATATATGTCGACTAATACTCTGGATATAAAAATATCTATTGTTATAAAACTAGAGGAAAAGAAAGATAATAGAGAGAATGTATTCTCTTGGTACGATTTTCATTACAACCGAAACTCCTATTTATAGGAAAACTTCTGGTGGTACAATCGTAATAGTATATCGGGGGCAAAATAATTAATCACATACACAAATAATAATTTTGTGTGGTTCATAACACTCCCCCTTAAATGACAATTTGTAAACTTATTGGAACAAAATTCAATCCGAGCATCTTGAAATGTAGTTTGTGGCCATCAGAAATAGTTCTGCTTCAGCATGTCAGGAAATCCTGGTGGGACAAAATCTGAGCATTGTGGAAGCATAACATTGCTGCCCTTCAAATGGATCATTTTTAGCGAAGTATCCATGTGCTGCGACTGCTGCCTCATTAAACCTTGTTAAGAAAACTCAATGAGAAAAATTTGATCGAAGGAAAAAGAGTACAACTACTCTCATCTCTTATTATCATATGAGGAATCATATCATTTATCCTTTAGGCAGTGTTTGGTTCAAGGGAAACGGGGAGGGGAAGGGAGGAGAGGGGATCTTTTAGTTTTCTCCTGTTTGGTTCAATTTTTTGAAGGAGGAGGGGTTAGAATTTTCCCTTGGAAAATTTTCCCTTCAAATTCCTCCTCCAAGGGAAAATACTCTCCCCTCCAAAAGTGGGGGAATTTGGAGGGGAGGGAAAATTTTTAACATCAAAATTACTTTTTTGACCTTATTATCTAAATTATATTAATGTTTTATTTCTTACATCATTAAAGGTATAACTGTCATTTCCACAATATTTTCTTTCCCTTTCATTTTTTCTAACCAAATAAGGTTTACCATTTTCCCTCCACTCACCTCCTACAAAATCCCTCCAAACAAGGTAAAATTATTTTACATCACCTCCCCTCTCTTCCCTCCCTTCTATTAAAATCCCTCTCCTCCCTTTCCCTTACTTGAACCAAACAATACCTTAGTCCTCATTATACCATAAATATGTCTTGTTAAAATCTTATTAAGAAAACTTTAGTGAGACAAAAATCTAATAAAAGAAAAGAGTACAATATTCATGTGAATACGCAATCCATTAAAAATGCACTTATTAGTAAATTGATTTTCAAATATCCATTTTATAAAAGTAAATGATGGAGTTTTTTTAAAAACGTTCTTTCATAAAAATCCAATTAATAAATGATCTTTTTACCAAAGTACTCTGAGACCATCATTAAATCATTTGTATAAGAAAGTTTTTGGTAAATTTCTTTCTTGCCCCCTTTTTTATTTTCTTCTAAATGAAATTATCTTCTCGTGGATATTACAGTGTTGACATTTGGTCATATGATTATCAAACCTTGTTCCCTATTCAATATTATAATGTCGATAAATCATACATGTAAAATTTGTCATGATCTGAAAATAAATAAATAATATTTTAAACCATCATTCATCCAAATTTCCAAACCAAATCAACTGAACTGAACTAGCAAATAATTGCGTGTCTTTGTTGGCCATTACCACTTTTCATATCCTAACTTTCATCCCCATCTGCCAGCTTTCTCAATTCCACCCAAATTTCGCATACACCGAAAGCCCAAGAAAAAAAAAAAATGGCTTCTTTAAAGCTGACGACCCAGATCAGCACCTCCGCGGCCGAGTTCCCGGCGGCCGGGCCTCGCCGGAGGCCGAACTTCGGTGGCCCAGGCAAAAATCGGGTCGGGTTCAGAGTGTACGCGACGCAGCCCGACGCGGGGCCCGATCTTAGCGTGACCGTCAATGGGCTGAAGATGCCGAACCCGTTTGTTATCGGGTCAGGTCCTCCGGGAACCAACTACAAGGTCATGAAACGGGCCTTTGACGACGGTTGGGGCGCCGTCATCGCCAAGACGGTATCTTTTTATCGACCCCATTAGTTATATAGTCTTGATTTGTATTTTCATTGGGTTGTAATTGGAAGTGTTCTGTTCTGTGTTTGTTTGGTATTCCTAATTGATTGCTTGAGAACTTTCATGGGTTATTGAATTGTCATTATTATCTCTTTGTTTGGTCAACATAGATGTAGGATTTAGTTTGAAAGGTGATGTGGGATGATATTATACTAAATTTAGCTAAAAATCTATGATGTAAATTAGCTTCTAGGTTTTTTAGGCAGGAGACATGGAAGTAGCTCTTCTTGGTGTTTAACTTGTAATAACTGACAGAAATATCCAACAGATGAACTAATGAAGTTAATATTTAAGAACCAGCATTTACTTTATTGTTTTACCTTTCTCTGTCATGTTCGATTTTTCTACCCTTTTAGTGCTTGAATATTTTGCCTGTGCGTGAATGAACTTATGAATGGAAGTTTGACCCATTGATTACTTTGAATAAGCATCAGAGAGGAGGGTTTAGACAAGGGATTAATTAGATTATATGTTTGTGAAATACAACATTAAACATCAACAAATTTTCCCTAATTTTTGTTGTTTTAAAACTTAGTTGTTTACAGATAAGTCTGCAAATAGTTTGCTCTTTGTTACTC